TTAAGACTTAGTTGACAAAGGTCAGCATGTATGGGGGTAAATTGAGTATCGGATGTGAAAATTTTTGTGTTGTAAGACCTAGAATGCAGCGAGGCTGATCAACCATTGCATTTGTAAACTGATGACAGAATTCGTAATCTAAAATATAAGAAAAATAGTAAGAAATTCAAAACTGACTAAAGCTCAGTGAAATTGTCGTGTTTCTGAAACAAATGCCGGTGTGGATCAGGTCAATGCAAATTGTCACAATTTTTGAAAAGTATGTTCCTTATCCATTTATACCCTCCATTATAGTATGGAGGGTATATTAAGTTTGTCACTTCGAAATATACATTTTAGATTCCACAAAATATATGTATTCTTCATTGGCATAAAATTCTATGTCGATTTAGCTAACCTGTATTTTTCTACCATGGGTAAACCATGTGTAGAAGAATACAGGTAGTCGCATCGACACAGCTGCTGGGACAATGAATTGTCAAACCAATTTCGGAATTGAAAATGTTAAATTAAAAATTATTTGGTTCCTCTTCTATTGAGCTTAGAAACTTGTCACTTGGGTAAAAAAAGTTTATTTGTCATAGAAGTTATTTTTAAAATAACATTGGGGAGAATATCCCAGACAAAACACAAGGCAACTGATGAGGATTGGTGGCTCTTTCCGAATCGTAGGTATTCCCTTTCTTACCCCCTGGTACACATTACCATCGTTTTTCTCTAATAAACAAACGTTGTTTTTATAAAAACAACAGTAAAGGGATTAAGGCTGACCATTTTGCAACAACGAAATTATTGAAATTTGTACAAATTGTTGAAAATACATATCATAAAAACCTCCGATTTGCATCGTATAAGTATACATATAAAAATCTACTTATTTTTGACAAAACATTTTACATTTTTTAACATATCAATATTCCCAAGCGTTGCTGCATCTACCTGTATTCTTCTACCATGGGTTAACCCGCCGAATCTATTAAACACAGTTAGCATGGTAGAAAAATACAGGTAGATGCATCAACGCTTGGGAGCATCGACGTGTCAAAAAATTAATTTTTTTTCAAATATAAGTAGATTTTTATATATTTTCTTATACGACGTCATTCGGAGGTTATTATAAAAGACCTTTTTCAACAATTTGTACAAATTTAAATAATTTTTCATTTAACATTTTCAATTCCAAAATTCGTTTGACAGTTCATTGGCCCAGCAGCTGTGTCGATGCGTCTACCTATATTCTTCTACCATGCCAGTGAGTTCATCATCCTTAGTCTATACGTACCATTCATTGTAATATCGTGTGTTCTAACTCCAAAGCATGGTAGAAGAATATAAATCATTAAGTAAATTAGTCAATAAATGTATATTATAAATGTATATTATTATATTATATTATTATTAGTTAGAGATTAGATTAGATAAGGTGACAGGAAGGTAATTTTCACAAAATGCAATATATGCCAACTCTGCAATGAGACTGATATTGCAGTTTAAAGAATCCGGGTTTATTTAAATATTCTACACAAATCTAATAATGTATAATCATTGATTAATTTACTTAATAATTTATATTTGTTTTCGATGTTGACAGATACAGCAGCTCTTAAGACGGCGTTAAATATTTAAGATATTGTGCTATTCACTCTCCTATCTTTGGATCATTGTAGAAGAATACGGGTAGATGCATCAACGCTTGGAAACATTGATATGACAAACAATTTTAAATGTTTTTTCAAATATAAGTAGATTGTTACATGTTTTCTTATACGACGTCATTTCAAATTTAAATAATTTTTCATTCAACATTTTCAATTCCAAAATTGGTTTGACAGTTCATTGTTCCAGCAGCTGTGTCGACGCGTCTACCTATATTCTCTACCATGGTTAGAACACACGATTGTACAATGAATGGTACGTTTAGACTATAGATGATTAACTGGGCTTAATAGATTCGGCGGGTGAACCCATGGTAGAAGAAGCAACACTTCGGAACATTGAGATGTGAAAAAAATTTTAAAAGTTTTGTCAAAAATAGGAAGATTTTTTATATGTATTCTTATACGATGCAAATCGGAGATTGTTATGATATGTATTTTTCAATAATTTTTAATTTAACATTTTCAACTATAAAATTGGTTTGACAATTTATTGTCCCAGCAGCGACTATCTATGTGTCGATGCGACTACCAGTATTTTTTTACACACGTTTTACCAATGGTAGAAAAATACAGGTTAGCTAAATCGACATAGAATTTTATGCCAATGAAGAATACATATATTTTGTGGAATCTAAAATGTATATTTCGAAGTGACAAACTTAATATACCCTCCATACTATAATGGAGGGTATAAATGGATAAGGAACATACTTTTCAAAAATTGTGACAATTTGCATTGACCTGATCCACACCGGCATTTGTTTCAGAAATAAGACAAATTTGAGTACCTATGTTTTAGTCAGTTTTGAATTTCTTACTATTTTTCTTATATTTTAGATTACGAATTCTGTCATCAGTTTACAAATGTAATGGTTGATCAGCCTCGCTGCATTCTAGGTCTTACAACACTGTCCACCATTGTTGAAATTCGCATATCCGATACTCAACGTACCCCTGTACATGGTGACCTTTGTCAACTAAATCTTAAATCGAAGTGTTTGTTAGAAAATGTACTAAACATTTTTCAATTAAATCTTGCATTTAGTTCCAATCACAAAAGTTTTTTTTGATGTTTTTATATGGAGGATTCCAGACCCAGATTTCCGTTCTGATCACAGAAGTTTGAAAATTTTGTCCTACCAAAAACTGATTTTGGACTAAGTATTGATACGAAAATGTTCGTGAAGACCTCCTCGTTAATTCTAATATTTCATTTTGGACGAGGTTTGTATAGGGAAGCTTCCAGAGCCGATCTTCTGTCCTGACCACCAGTTGGAAATCAGAAAATCTCCAACTTTGTTCTACCAAAAACTGATTTTGGACTAAGCATTGATACGAAAATGTTCGTGAAGGCCCCCTCTTTAATTCTAATAGTTCGCATTGGACGAAGTTTGTATTGGGAAGCCTCCAGAGCCGATCTTCTGTGCTGACTATCACTTGGAAATCAAAAAATCTCCAAATTTTCTTCTACTAAAAACTGATTTTGGACTAAGTATTGATACGAAAACGCTCGCGATGACCTCCACTTTTATTATAATTGTTCATTTTGGACGAGGTTTGTATAGGGAGGCCTCCAGAGCCGATCCTCTGTCCTGACCACCTGTTGGAAATCAGAAAGTATCCAACTTTGTTCTACCAAAAACTGATTTTGGACTAAGTATTGATACAAAAATTTCGTGAAGATCCCCTCTTTAATTCTAATAGTTCGTTTCGAACGAGGTTTGTATAGGGAAGCCTCCAGAGCCGATCTTCTATCCTGACCACCAGTTGGAAATCAGAAAATCTCTAACTTTGTTCTACCAAAAACTGATTTTGGACTAAGTATTGATACGAAAATGTTCGTGTAGACCTCCTCTTTAATTCTAATATTTAGTTTTGAACGAGGTTTGTATAGCGAAGCCTCCAGAGCCGATCTTCTGTCCTGACCACCGGTAAGATCTAGCTGGAAAATTATGCTGTTTTTGAATTGATTTGATAATGGTCTTTCGCATGAAACCATTGAGAAATGACTTAAATTTTATTATATGGAACTATTTACTACCCCCATTGAATTTTTGATTTATAATTTCATTAAATAATTATTTTATTTGTTATTATTATTTTTCATCAACACCGTTGAAAAAAGGTACTAAAAGAGAAATTGGGCGTCACACTGTGAATTTCGATAACTCGTTGTTATCGAAAGTTAGCGTCGTTGCGAACTTCACGCACCTATATTTTATTACTACCATGGTGGAAGAATACAGGTAGTCGCATCGACACAGCTGCTGGGACAATGAACTGTCAAACCGAATTTGGAATTGAAAATGTTGAATGAAAAATTATTTAAATTTGTAAAAATTGTTGAAAAATTCATAATATAACAACCACCGAATTGCGTCGTATAAGAAAACATTTAAAAATATACTAATTTTTGATAAAACATTTTAAAAATTTTGACATATTAATGTTCCCAAGCGTTGATGCATCTACCTATATTCTTCTACCATGATTACTACTACCTGTACTGTGCGCTGTGCGTATCTTTTTCGACTTCCCCAGGTACTAATGTGCATGGATATCTTAAGTTCATTGTAAACTTATTTTAATATCTTTCTTGCAGATCAGTTATCAACGGTCGTTGTGATGTGTGTTGTGAAATTTGGTTTCGGCTTTGTGACAAAATTCTGGCCGCCCGGACAAAAAATAAAGCCAATTGCGGCTAGTTTCCCTCCAAATAAGGCATATTTCGTGCAATCACAATTTTGGCAAACTACTCAACTCGATTTGTGCGATTCACATAAACATTCAAAGAAAGTCTTTGAAGATTGTTGAATTCTATCCGGGATTCTAGGGTCTTTGTATTGGTAGAAACGGGCTATGTCTTAAAATGTGGTGTATACATTGACGCTAGTGTGTGGCTAATATATATGGAATCCTAAATAAAATCGTACTTCGATTTCACTCCAGTCATTTATTCAAAATATTCAAGTCACATAATGTTAATTGTTTTATGAGGACACCTGGGATTTCGATTCTTAAGTCTTAAAATAATTTCAACTAAGGACCATTTGGTGTAGCTATGATCCAGCTAACGTTTTAGTCGTATTTTCAGCAGAATCATGGAAAATGTTCAACATTATCCGTGCTCTGATCTTATAGAGCGTAAAAATGTAGACTTACACCAATTTTCTCGATTAACTCTCAGTTGCCTTATCTAAATTTTCAAATCGCTCAAAAATTTCTTTATATGCATATCAAACTACATTTATTTATTTTATTTAAATTTGTTATTAAATTGGTTCCAGTTTTTTGGTATCGCACCGTTGAAAAAAAGTATTATGTATAAAATTTCAATGTTCTGAATCACCCAGTAGTTTTAGGAAAACCGAAGTTATCAATAGTTAGCAATGTTGCTAACTACACCCAGATTACATTCTTCCAGGTTCTTGGGCAGATCATATATCATACGCATTTTTACACTATTTAAAAATCGATTTATAGTTTCCTGACAATGAGGTAAAGAGTTTTGTAATTCCATTTTTTTTGCATTAATTTATTAATTTTTAAGGCATTTACGCTTAAAAATGGTAGTGCGATCATTTTCTTCTACCAGCAAATACATGAAATATCTTCCGGAAGAGCTGAAAAAGTTAACAGCATCATACTTAGACAAAATAGAAGAAAATGTTGTGTTACGGCAACACAATAATAATGTTCAGCTTTTACGTGAACTTGTAAACAATTTAAAAACAGTCTGTGAATATGACACATTGAAAACAGAACTTTTAAAACTACCAAATTCAACTCACCCTAGACTGCGAGAATACGGAACTGAACCTAAACAAATAGAAATTTTTGAACCCAACAATTATAATGAGAAAGCTACAGAATTTTCCGAGGCTTCGAAATATATGAACATATTTCGTATGGACCATTTGGGAAATTATACGGGCCACAAAAGTTATTACTTGTTCGGGAAATTGGCAGAATTGGAGCACGCCATAAAGGAGTATGCTGTAGGCCATCTTCAAGATAATGATTTCGATATAATTTCTGTGCCAGATATTTTGCCAAAAAGCACAATAGAAGGGTGTGGTATGCAGACCGATGGCGAAAGAACGCAAGTATGAAAAACATTGTTTATATAAGTTTAAAGAAAAAGGGACTAAATGCAGGCTTTAGGGCGCCAGAGGATCATTTTGAAAACTTTGTCAGAAGTACCACGATGCAGAACAAGAGCTCTTTGAAAGTTCAGTCAGTCTTTGGTACTCCAAAAGGTACATGTCAATATTATTGTTCGATGTGCGTTGATAAGGTAGTACCGCTCAATGAAAGATCTCTCCAGGAGCCGAACAGAAAACATCTATATTTAAAATCAATTTCCGATACCGAAATATTTTCGTCTTTTTGAACATTCTTATTTTTACAATGAGGCCCACTGCCCGAATACTGTTTTTTGGTACGTTCCTGCTATTAATATACATACATACATATGTTTAAAGAAAGACTAAAAACATTCATTGAATATCATTCGCTTATGTCTTTATACTTTTAATACCCTCCAACATAGTATAGAGTGTATATTAAATTTGCCAATCCGTGTGTAACGCCTCGAAAAAAGCTTTTAGACTCCACAAAGTATAAATATTCTTGATCAGTATATCAGTGTTGATTTGTCTCACATAATTAGAATTTATTCCTTAATCCGGATTTATTCAGCCAGGTTTACAGGTTTTTATCCGGTTGTACCTATCTAACAAGTGGTCATATGATGGGTCGCAGTAATACAAGAAAATTTCTAGAGTAATACAAGAAAATTGTTATTTTTGTAGCGGAACTTTTTGAATATGGACCTATTATGGGATATTAAAAACGGCAACATTCATTGTAGTCTACTCTGGCCTTTCTAAAATGATACCATATGATGAAATGGTACCAATGATATCTCTTTTAGTTCCGACGATATTCGTGTTGCAAATCATGAAATTGCGATTTTCTCCACTAATAAGTATCTAACCTTTATAGCTTTGTATATAGATTTATTGATATTGAATTTAAAGTCGAATTCCGGCTACTTAAAAAAGTTATAAAGTTTAGAGAATAAAGTTTAGGATCGCGTAGTCAGTGTTGGACATACCCCAGAGAAGAAAGGTGCAAATTATACCCATTTTGTTGGTAACGATTTTGTAGAACCGGATAAAAACCGGATGGTGTATCCAAACTTTCGGGTCAAATAACCGGGTAATCGAGTATTCCCCCTCAAAAAATTGTTTCCCTTAATAAATTAAAAATATCTACCTGCGGTAAAAATTTCAAAAAGATCGAGCGTAGCCCTTAAACTCACCTTGCTCCAAAAGATTTTCTTATGCGATGACGTTTAGAGGTTGGGATAATATATAATTTTCAAAAAAATTCCCTAAACTAAAATTTTTTTTCATTCAAAATTTAGAATTACTTTTAGGCAGTAAAAGGAAATTGATTACTACGGCGAATGAAATAAAATAATAGTTAAATTATCTGAATATAAAATAATCACTGAAACGTAATTAAATGTGATGTTTCTGAAACGTGGCTAAAATGTAATGTTCTGGACACTGAGTTATTCATTGATAATTATCATGTTTAGAGAAGGGATAGCGTAATGAGAAAAACTATTTGTGCAAAATGAAATGTCATAGTTAACGCTATCTTTTTAACTTCTTCATATATTTCACCTAATTCTGAACTTGAAATCTTTTTAAACTGTGCGATTTATTTGTTAAGTGTCTTCATTGCTTACAGGCTATTTTTCGTTAATTTGTGTAAGGGATTCTAACTAACTTGGATATCCGGTCCCTATGTACATCCTGTTGATAAATCTTGGATTGAGAAACTCTTCATTTAATTTATTTCTGCTCATGCTTGGATTGATAGGCGTAACTTTGGGAAAACAAACTTCACTTTCTTTTACCGAGCACTATATTGCGTCATAATGACAACATTGGCTCATGTCTTTCAACATTTTATGAGAAACGTAATTTGCATTATCTATCTCTGTACCGACAATTAAACAAAATATAGATCTGTTTACTGTTTTAAAAGTCGAGTACTGCGCTGAATTTTTTAAAGTATTTTTCCGCAAGGAATATATGCTACTCTGTAAACTCCAACATTTAATATGATGAGATCATAACTCAGAGATTGCTAGTTTATTTGTCGACTTTTTTCATCTTACACCCCAAAACATTTTAAAGTTTCTTATAATTGTAATGTTAAGAAAATAAATATTTTTTCTCGTATTATCTTAACAGATATTGATTATTGCGTTATTGAAGCAAAATCTTTATTAGTCTTCACCGTACGAAGAGGTTGATGATCCTTACGTAACTGTGGTGTGCGCCTTAAAAAGGGGTAACCATGAAAATAATTGATAGCCAGAAGAAGAAGAAGAATGTTGTCAACCATTATTAGGGAACAGCTGTTTATTCCAATGACTTAAATGTCAATAAGGGGGAATAATTTAAAAAGAAAATGGACAAATTAAACGAGGAAAATGGCAGCCAGAATTTCCTGGCAGAAATTGTAAGGAAATTCTTTCCTTTTTATCTCATCAGCGAAGAAGATTGGATGCGTGGCTCCCAGCTCCCAGCGAAGTAAAACACCCGGCATTTTTTGGCGATAAATTCCATAAGTAAAAGGAATTACATTTATTAATTTGATGTGTTCAACAAAATAAATGAAAAGAATACAAAATCCAAACCTTTTTTTTTTTTTGCTAAAAAGGCTTAAATCTTAAAACAAAATATAAATCTTAAAACAAAATATAAAATTTAAAAAGCTAAAATGTGAACATTTAAGAACTAAACCTGAAAGTATTCTTAATAGTTATACAAAAACTAAATAAACATCGTAAAGTTTGGCAAAATTTTAAACAAAATGAAAATGAATTAAAGTTTAAACAAAACAAAACTGAATTAAGTTTAAACAGAATGAAAATGAATTAAAATTAAAACAAAACGAAACTGAATTAAGCTTGAAACAAAACTTAATAAATACAAAGAAAATTAAGAAAAATCTTAAAAATTAAGTCCTGGCAGAATTTTTGGAGTAAAGAGCCACACCATCGCCCATCCAATCCATCGAGGGAGGCGCAGATTTTCCGTCACTGCTATACCAGCGTGACTTGGTATCTTCCCTATAGACGTCACTATAAACTCCGGACAGACAGACGGACGACGAGGCGACATAATTAGATTCCGCGGTTTTCCTGAAAAGAAAAGTAAAATTTTAAATAAAAAGGGGTAAACAAAAGAAGTTTAATTTAAGATTTACTCGCCTGGTGTTGCAGTGCAGGATCCCTCGTTGAATTGAGCTCATTTCGAGGTTAGGTATCCACTTTTTTTTCTCGTCGATTGTTTTTGTGGTGTCGACATACTGCCTTTTGTTTGTCCTGGCCTGGAATTGGAAAATAAATTATCATTTTTTTTAATCTTGAACCGGGAATGTAGTTATAAAGCTAAACTTCATACTATTACGTACTTACTCTTTGGGAAGAACCTTGTCCATTAGCTGCCGTCAGTGGTCCTAACTCTTGATACCCGCCATCGAACCCTGAAAAGGAAAAAGAAAGAGAAGGAGCCTAGAGTTGGAATTATTTTTTTTTATGGAGTTAATAATTACGTTTCCTGTTTTTTTTCATTGATTGATAGTATAAATCAATATGTAATGTACAATAGGTGTAATAAAATTGTATACTTCCAAATGAAGATGATGTCGTTGGCTTAAGGCCATTAAGAAGGTGGTAGGGATGGTTTAAACGGAGGTAAGTGAAGGGTCAAATTTGGGACGTCAGGGAGTGGTGACGTCATGGCGAGAGGTGTTCTCGGTGGGAGGGCTATCTCTTGGTCGGACAGCCGCCAAGAGAGCTGTTTCCGGAGGAAAGAAGTGGGTTAAAGTGAGTTTAAGATTGAGTTTTTGGTAGACAAGTGTAGTTTTTTTGTATTTTTAGGCATGTTTCAGGCTTCTAATAATATTCCCCTTTTAGATATTCGTGCAAGCCCGGTATGATATTTTTTTTTGTGTTCAACCGAAAAGGTCTTCAAGTGGCAAGAACCACCCCTCACCCGACGAGCCATAGCCGCGCTAAACGCCAGCATACCGGCAACGCCACTTAAAGCCAAATATTGCGATTTTTCGTCATCCTCGGAAAACGGTTGTTACAAAATGGCGCCCAGAACGTGGGGCCTGAAACATGTCGTTAGTTTGTAATAGTTGTTAGTGATAGTGTATAAATGTGTTTTCAGTATATCTTCGATGAGACCCGTTTAGGTTACATTAAGAGTCCCTGGCGCGATGCTTCATCGAAGACGCGAGAAGACATCATTTATTTTTCAAAAACAAATATGAAACTTGTTCCTTTCTAGTGGCTTAGTCGTGCTAATTTGCATTTACGTCTAATCGCACTAGTATTACTAATTTTGTTTCATATTTATCTACAGTTAAAATTTCAAATAACAAATTCGTCTGGACGAACAGTTCTCATTTGTGGAGACCCGTTCAAGCAGCCTATAAAATGGCAGGTGACGCGCTGCTACACGAATGTGAATTGTTAGTCTCAATCGAATTTGTAGGTTTAGGTTAGTAGTATTTCCTTTTTTATACAATTCCAGTACCCGGAATTAGGTAGCGGACCGCAGACATACCGGAGTTTTCCTTTGGTCCTGCGACAATCTTGGTTTTTGACCAGGGGCCGTATTGTCATGGAATTTCTTAGGAAGGTCTGGGGAAAGCCGCCTATTCCATATTCCAGTTAAATTCCTCAGTTTTTTCCAGTAGAACTCACCGAAACCCTGTAGAAAATATTTTAAAACAGTTTAAAATTGGTATTCCTTTAGAAACAGTATATTTGACCTTCACTTACCTTTAAGTTTACCTTTTATCCCACCACCTATCTTTAGCATTTATTTATTTTTTTCAGTCAATTTCGGCTTGAAGGGTTGATACGCCGTGTCAATTTTCAAAGGGCCTGTGAATGTGAAAGAGTGTGTTAAAAATTAAATCGAATTAAATTTTATGGATTAGGAAATTAAGTTTATTAAATTTGAAACTGGTACTTAAAGTTCTATAAATATATTTTTTTTTCAACCTCAAGGTATTGCCTGAATTCCATAGAAATACCTTGAATTTTTTTTTTTTCATTTGAGTGAAGTTTTTGGCAAAAGCTTAATTTCTCTTTTAGTTTGGAAGAATTTTGTTTTATAAGAGGTTAGGAAACAACAGAGTGGAATATGCCCAGCACTAGGTCTACAAATAGGGACTCAACTGGCAGGCCAATTTTAGGTCAGAATAGTGTAGTCGCCAGTGCGGTTGTCACGACCGCTCCTACTGTTTCTGTTACCACTTATACTCGAAGTGTTCCCATAACGACGCATACGGTGTCGACTACAACGCCTGGACCGATGCCTACCAGTTCTTCTACAGCACCTCCAATACCGTCGGTTTTGCAAGACGCCGCAAATTCTTTCAACACGTCGTTCTGGTCACATGGAAGTGTCCATTCCCCGAATTACAGCGTGTTGACTGGATTGCAACAGCCATCTTTGGCACCCGGTGTGCCTACGGGTCAGCCAGCAGTCAGTACCGGAGTGCTAGAAATTATTAACACTGCAGTCGGATTAGCGCGGCGCGAAATGCGCGAGGAAGTACGGAGTCTACTGGGAGTTCCTGATGCCATACCGTCATATCGGCCACCTCCAGCAGGTTATACAGCACCAAATTATGCCCAAGGGCAGATACCCAGCCAAGCATCCATTCCCAGTGCCTTAGCAGCTGGTCAAGTAACACAACCACCACCACAACCTAATTTGTCGGTACCACCACCAGTACAAGGACCACAGTGTGGACCCCATGCATTTGCCGCATATAGACCACCACTTTTTAGCAACATGGAGTTTCCGCCCGAAGGAGGCAATCCATATGGTTTTCGTCCTCCAGCCAGTTTTTACTCTGAATCCAGCGGACGGCTAAATTTGGACAAGTGGGGTATCCGTTTCGATGGCACCGAGAAGACAGTGAATGTCCAAGAATTTATATTTCGTGTTGGACAGTTGAAGAGGGATTTCAATTGCCCGGAAGACGAATTCTTGACGAAGTTCCACCAGCTTCTAGACAAGCCAGCCTTGGATTGGTATTGGAACCAAAGGAAATTTGTCAATTTTCGTTCGTGGAGCGAGCTTGAGACTGCGCTTTTGAACCAGTACCAGCAGTATGAGAATGAGTTCCAAATACAAATGAAAATTCTGAACAGACGGCAACTACCTCATGAGACGTTCGACGATTTTTATAATTCCGTGCTGAAGCTTCGGACCCAGCAGAAAACGCCTTATCAAGAGCACGACATGGTAGAGATAATGCGGGGTAACTTGAAGCCATCTTTAGCCCAAATGATTTTCTCAGCCCAGATAAGAAGTCTAGGGGAGTTTTATCGCCAAGTTAAGAGGGCAGAAAACTTGATATGGAGCCAGAGGCAACATCAGCAGCGATATAACGTTCCTCAGAGGCTACATGAGCTTGATTGGCAGCAAGAAGAAGTCATACCAGAAGAGATGGAAGTAGATGCGATTAGTACACCGGCGAAATATAAGTGTTGGAATTGCGGAGTGTGGGGACACAGCTGGATAGATTGTAGGGAGAAGCGCAAGTTGTTTTGCTACAAATGTGGACAGGAGAATGTAACAGTTTTAGATTGTCCTAAATGTCAGGGAAACAAGTATCGGGGCCCACCTCCAACGGGGCAGGTGAGGTCAACCCCGGTATAGCCCCAGAGAAATCAAATAGTTATAGCCTTAGTGATAAGATAGTGGTATTGAAGAACATGAATTTAGAGAAATTGAAATCAGAAGCAGTAAAGAATTTGAGGGAGATTAAACCACTCCATGTTAGAATTAAGGAATATAATGAGGCTAAAGAACGAATTTTTGGAGAGGTTTCTAATAAAGTGAGGAAAGCTAGAGAACGCTTTAAGAGAAGAAAAAGAGTTAGGAAAGAAATTGCATCGGCTACATTGTATGAGGGAGATGATACTCGCCTATATACAAAGCTTACGATCAACGGACAGGAGTTGGAAGGTTTGTTGGATAGTGGTGCTACGGTGTCTTGTTTGGGGAAGAACTGCCTTAGTTTTGTAGGAAAAGCAGGATTGGAGGTAATCCATTTTCATTCTTTTATAAAGACAGCTGATGGTAGTCCACATCGAATCGTTGGAAAAGTGGCTACAATGGTCAATTTCAATAAGCAGCAGAAACCTATCATTTTCTATCTAGTGCCTTCTCTGAGTCGTGAACTTTTTCTAGGAGTCGATTTTATGCGTAGTTTTCACCTCTTTGCTCAGATTGACGGGTTGTCCCTCCATCAGGTGAGCCTCTGTGACGAAGCCGATGAGATCAGTGATGTGAAAACCCATATATTGTCCGATGAGCAACGTTCGCGTTTGCAAATTGTGAAGGATAAATTTCCATGCTTTGCCAAGTATGGTTTGGGAAAAACGAATGCTGAGGTCCACTCAATCGATACTGGCGATGCAACTCCAGTGAAGGATCGACATTATCCGGTGTCCCCGGCTGTGCAAAAGCTCATGTACGCGGAATTGGATAGGATGCTTGGCCTGGGGGTAATTGAGGAGAGCGAAAGTCCATGGAGTCACCCCGTTACGTTAGTCCGAAGGGGTGAGAAAAATCGGTTATGTTTGGATGCTCGTAAACTTAATGCGCTTACGGTCAAGGATGCCTATCCATTGCCGCATATAGAGGGTTTGCTCAGTCGGTTGGGAGACACATATTTTATCTCCAGTGTCGACCTCAAGGATGCGTTTTGGCAAATACCCCTGGACCCGTCTAGTAGAGAGAAAACTGCATTCACAGTGCCCGGAAGACCACTTTATCATTTTACGGTCATGCCTTTTGGTCTGTGTAATGCGGCCCAAAGGTTATGCCGTTTAATGGACAAAGTGATCCCCAGCGCAATCCGTGATAGAGTTTTTGTCTACCTGGATGATCTGTTGGTAGTTTCGCCCGACTTTGATACCCACCTACGGTTGTTAGAGCAAGTAGCCGATTGTTTGGCGAAAGCAGGGCTCACCATCAATGTATCCAAGTCGAAGTTCTGTTTCAAAGAGCTTAAATATTTGGGATACATTGTTGGCGGTGGCAAACTGAAAACTGATCCGGCGAAGGTGGAAACTATAGTAAAATTTGCATATCCGAAAACCATAAAACAGGTGAGAAGTTTTATGGGTACCGCAGGGTGGTATAGGAGGTTTATAGCCGACTTTGCCACCATTGCGGCTCCCATCTTCGAGACCCTCAAAAAAGGAAAAAGATTCAGTTTCACGGAAGAGGCCAGGGTAGCATTTGATAAGTTGAAGCAGGCTCTTATAAGCAGTCCCGTGCTTACACACCCGGACTTTACCAAAAGATTCTACGTGCAGTGCGATGCTTCAGACTTAGGAATAGGAGCTGTATTGTTTCAAAGAGATGACGAGGGTGAACATCCGATAGCGTATTTCTCGCAAAAGTTAACTTCTGCTCAGAGGAATTATTCTGTTACTTAGAGGGAATGTTTGGCAGTGGTGATGGCCATTAAAAAGTTTAGGCCATATATAGAGTTAATGCCCTTTACAGTAATAACTGACCACAGTAGTCTAAAATGGCTCATGTCACATAGGGATCTTTGCGGAAGGTTAGCCAGATGGAGTTTGCACTTGCAGGGATATTCTTTTGAGATAGAACACCGTAAAGGCACACAAAATGTAGTACCCGATACGCTATCTAGATATGATATGGAGGAGATTTCTCTGGACGTTAAGTCGTTAATCGACCTTGATTCACCAGCTTTTAAATCAGATGAATACTTAACCTTGATAGATACGATTGAAAGCAATTCTTCACAACTTCCTCATTTAAAAGTGGTTGAGGGTTTTGTATATAAGCGAACTCAGTTCTATGATGGTATTCCCCTCAACGAAGATTTCGCTTGGAAGTTATGGGTACCCAATGAAATGACCCAGCAAATTATAGAAAACGCACACTGCCCACCCCAAACATCTCATGGAGGTTTCTACAAAACACTTCGTAGGATTAAAGAGTATTTTTTTTGGCCAAACTTGAATACGCAAGTTAGGAATTTTGTTCAGGATTGTGTAATTTGCAAAGAAACAAAGCCAGCTAATGTTACTCTTCGGCCACCTATGGGAGCAGAAACAATTACCGAAAGACCTTTCCAACGAATTTTTATAGACTTCTTAGGTCCTTATCCTAGAACCAAAACAGGAAATAGTTTTATTTTTATTGTGGTAGACCACCTTTCAAAATTCGTCCTATTAAAGGCCATGGCCAAAGCAAATTCCAAAAACGTAGTGAAATTTTTAATCAGTGAGGTATTTCATAAATTTGGAACCCCTGAAGTAATTGTCTCCGATAACGGGAAACAATTTATCAGCAAAGAATTTGTAGACATGGTTAAGCTTTTTGGAATAAATCATACAAAGACCGCTTTTCACTCTCCTCAAGCGAATGCCTCGGAGAGAGTAAATCAATCAATTTTATCAGCAATTCGAGCGTATTTGGGAGAAGATCACCGAGAATGGGATCGAAATTTGTCAGAGATAGAATGTTCTCTGCGATCTTCTGTACATAGTTCCATCGGAACTACCCCTTATTTTGCGCTCTTTGGAGTTAACATGATTAACCATGCCAGCCTTTACAAACTAGCCCGGAAGCTTAAACTTCTTAATGACCCCGAGACAACACTCATTCCAAACTCGGTAAAACAGGATCTTATCAGAGAAAAGATAAGAAATAGTCTGCACCAGGCATACTTGAGACATGAGAAGTCGTATAATCTTAGAAGTCGTCAGGTCAAGTTCATCCCAGGGCAAGAAGTTTTCCGAAGAAGTTTTGGGCAAAGTGTTTTTAAAAATAATTATAATGCTAAACTTGACAAGAAATTTTTCAAGTGTCGCATTGTTAAGCCAGTTGGGAAATGCCTTTATGAAGTCGAAGATCTTAAAGGGCATCCCCTCGGCGTTTTTCACGCTAAGGATTTGAAGCAATAAATGCTTAATAATTGATTAATCTAATTTTTCTTTTGGTTATTTTTTTTTTTTTTTTTTGCATATATATAGCGACCGAAGTCTAAAGCATATATATATGAGGATAGCATGTGTTTTTTTTTAATTAATTGAAGTTTAGTTTTTTAAATTAAAGCGGAGATCTCAGGATGAAATACTAATCCGCAAAGTCTACACGAAAAGTATATAAAATTGAATTCTAAATCTAGCTTAACTAAAATTGCATCATTTTTCTCCAATACTCACCTGAATTTTCCAAGAGTTCCGGGAAATCCGTTCGAATTTAGTTGAAGTAATACCTGCATTGAAAAAAAAAAAACAAATTTCATTAGTATTATTTAAGATATAATATTAAAAGGACTAACCTGAATTACGACTTACGAAATGTCCTTTATTATTCCTAAGCTGATACAAGCTGTAGGGCAGCTTTCTCTTCATAAGTGATTTGTAGTTGAGTGTATGGGTAAGGGTTGAACCCAATTTCTCCAATTTTTAGCCATAAAAGTAAAGGAAAAAGAAGGAATTAGTGAAATGTCATGAGGTAATATGGTTGGAAAAATAAATGTAATGAAATGAACATCTCAAAAGAAAGAAAAGAAATTAAAAATGAAATGCCATACTTACAAAGGGGCTTGGCTGAAATTTTTTATAAATTTTATGGTTATAAGAAATAGAGTTCTCATAATTTTTCTCATTTTCCAGAGCAAAATTACAAAAACTACGAAAGAGAATTAAAACTACATCTTACGTTTATCTTAGCGCCGACCGTAGTCCCACTTAGGTCTCGCTTAGAATTTTGGATGATGGTGTAGTTCGGAACCCTGTTTTTTTTCATTCGAACAGGCGTCCAATCTCCTAGACTCTAACAGCAGAAGTCAGAATTTCGAAGTCAGAGTACGAATCAAAGCACTCCGGGTTTGCCGACTCTAGCTGATGTCTGCGCTTTCGGAGCAGTCACGTAGTGACTGTCCTTGACCATTAGTGCAATTCCCCTTTCGCGATAGGTACCGCAGTAGCCGTTTGCTCTATGGCACGGGCCAGGGAACTGTTGTACACGAGGTCGCAGATCAGTCCGTCACTCGCCTTACGACGCTAGAGTCTGGAAGCCGGTAGACAAAAAGAAACAAATACACCTCAGTGCATTCGTAAGCCATCGTATCCGACATTCTGGCAAAAGCTGAAGGTCCAGGCGATGGTACATCTGCTGGAAGAAAAGTAGAACAGGATTGCTCGAACTTACCATCCATTGTATTTCCTGTTTTTGCAGGTCAGACCAATTCCACCACCTAAAGGTAATGAATGCCTGGAAAGATAAAAAATAACTTATTAATATCTTTTGTTTATACAATTTTCAGCATTTCCATATCTACTTACCTTTTGTGAATTAGATATCCAATTCGGGCAACTTTTTGGGTTGTCTTGTGAGATTATGGAAAACTTTTCTTGGTTTCCATAGGAGGCCAATCTCCTAGACACCAACAGCAGAGGTCAGAAAGAATACGCTGGATTACGATAGAAGCATCCCAAATTTACGGACTCTAACAATATGTTAACGATTCCTGAGCAGTCAATTTATGACTGTCTTTGACCATTTGTGCACTCTTCCTTTGTATACCCATACGCATCCATGGCACAAGGCAGAAGAGTGTTGTACACAAGGTCGCAGAGCTGTCAGTCATCGAATTATGAAGATAGAGTCTGAAATCGGGAAGACAAAACCAAACACACCTAGGTATATTTGGAGTAATGTCGTATCCAACTTTCTGACCAAAGCTGGGGGTCCTAGTTGATGGTACCCCTACGGAAAAAGAAGACACCATGCTCAACTCACCTTTCTTTCAGGCTAAACTCGTGCAAAAAAAATCTGTAAAGAGAAGAAAAAGAAAATAAGTATTAGTTCTGTGTCCTAACGGTGGACTATGATTTAAATTAAAACGAAGAGAGAATTTATTTTTGTAATTTTTTTATTTCTTTCAATTTAATTCCGTTAAAATTTTAGAATATTTCACTTTATTCGTCACATCAAATTCACCGAAGCCCAATTTTATATAATATTTTCGGTAACTTATTCGTTGATTCACAATAATTTTTTTAATATCATTGCTTAATAGTTTATTTCATTTTTACGACACTTCAATTTTTTTCTCTTCTTTAAAATCTTGCAAAAATTTTTATTGCACTGAAATTTTTTTTTTTCACATTTTGTTATTAAAAATAGACACAATAGTTGTTTTTTTTACGTCCGTCCGATATATAAGTTTTTTCTATTTTTTTTTTCCTGTAAAAATTTTCTTTTTTTATTAAAATTTAATTTTTTATATCAAAATTCAGGATATTTCACTTCAGTTTTACCTAAGCCAAATTCTTAAAAGAAAATTTATTTTCATTAAATTCACACTATTTTCAATTTCATTTTCATTCACTTTTCTTTTTCATTCATTGTTTAGACATTGATTCGCACAATTCTTAACTAGTAAAAAAAATACTTTTTAATTTTTTTTGTTCATTTCAATTCAATTTTTCGCACTTTTTGTCTTTAAAGAAAAAAAATAAACACAATATTTGCACACATAATTTAGGTCTGTCTTAATTTTTCACTAGTAATTATTAATTTCCGACAATGATCATTAATTATTCCTTTTGCACCTCACTTTTCACTTTATTCGTTTTTGCACTTTGTTTTGTTTTCACCATTTCAATTTTCTTTTCTTTTGGCAACATTATCATTTTAATTTCATTCGCACTTATCACTCATTCCTTAATTCTATATTTTCTTTATCTGTTCCATTTTTATTCACTATTCACTCACTTCGAATTTATTTCGAACTTATTGTTTCCGCCAAAGTCACATTTTTTCTTAATGAGTGCAATTTTTCATTGTAAATGCAACTTTTACTTACACTCACACACACACACACATTGAAGGGAAATCATTAATTTTTTTTTTGGGCTAGGAAATTAAATTAATTTCAGGAAATTAATTTTAATTGTTTCATTTAAACCACTTTATTATTATATTTCCTTGTATTCTTTTAATTTTCTTTATTATTTTCTAAGATTTATACGGATTAATTTTTCATGCAACTATTTGCCATTTACTATTATCACATACACCCGCACTGTATGTCACTGATAATTTTCATTCATTTCTTTTGCACTTAAATCACTTTAATTGCACACATTATTATAACTTACCCGGCACTGGCACTTGTTTTATTAAATTATTAAATATTTCACTATAATTTTTTTTCACTTTACTTACCCAAAATTTAATAATTTCTGCAGCTCCAAAATTGTCCGTCCGTCCGCGTGCTAATCCGCCAAAAATTTACAATACAATCGTACTCCGATTGTTTTCATTCATAAACATCACTACTATCGATAGTTACGTTACGTCAGACTAAACGATAACGCGTAGCGTATGACGTAAACTTTATACCAGGTTCGTATAGACGAAAATGGAGCGTTTACACTGTAATAAATAAATCAGTTCGGAATTAAATTTTATTTTGGAAAATCAGAAAATGAGTGTTAGGGATGCCAAACCACGATTGTTAGGGATGCCAAACATCGATTTTTTTTTCAATTGCCGTATCATAAACAATGATTTTTTTTTTATTTTTATATCGAATGTCGCACTTTTTTCCCCCTATCCTTCGATAAGGATATCAGCAGGATAGTTGGCTTTGTGGTGTGCGCCTTAAAAAGGGGTAACCATGAAAATAATTGATAGCCAGAAGAAGAAGAAGAAGAATGTTGTCAACCATTATTAGGGAACAGCTGTTTATTCCAATGACTTAAATGTCAATAAGGGGGAATAATTTAAAAAGAAAATGGACAAATTAAACGAGGAAAATGGCAGCCAGAATTTCCTGGCAGAAATTGTAAGGAAATTCTTTCCTTTTTATCTCATCAGCGAAGAAGATTGGATGCGTGGCTCCCAGCTCCCAGCGAAGTAAAACACCCGGCATTTTTTGGCGATAAATTCCATAAGTAAAAGGAATTACATTTATTAATTTGATGTGTTCAACAAAATAAATGAAAAGAATACAAAATCCAAACCTTTTTTTTTTTTGCTAAAAAGGCTTAAATCTTAAAACAAAATATAAATCTTAAAACAAAATATAAAATTTAAAAAGCTAAAATGTGAACATTTAAGAACTAAACCTGAAAGTATTCTTAATAGTTATACAAAAACTAAATAAACATCGTAAAGTTTGGCAAAATTTTAAACAAAATGAAAATGAATTAAAGTTTAAACAAAACAAAACTGAATTAAGTTTAAACAGAATGAAAATGAATTAAAATTAAAACAAAACGAAACTGAATTAAGCTTGAAACAAAACTTAATAAATACAAAGAAAATTAAGAAAAATCTTAAAAATTAAGTCCTGGCAGAATTTTTGGAGTAAAGAGCCACACCATCGCCCATCCAATCCATCGAGGGAGGCGCAGATTTTCCGTCACTGCTATACCAGCGTGACTTGGTATCTTCCCTATAGACGTCACTATAAACTCCGGACAGACAGACGGACGACGAGGCGACATAATTAGATTCCGCGGTTTTCCTGAAAAGAAAAGTAAAATTTTAAATAAAAAGGGGTAAACAAAAGAAGTTTAATTTAAGATTTACTCGCCTGGTGTTGCAGTGCAGGATCCCTCGTTGAATTGAGCTCATTTCGAGGTTAGGTATCCACTTTTTTTTCTCGTCGATTGTTTTTGTGGTGTCGACATACTGCCTTTTGTTTGTCCTGGCCTGGAATTGGAAAATAAATTATCATTTTTTTTAATCTTGAACCGGGAATGTAGTTATAAAGCTAAACTTCATACTATTACGTACTTACTCTTTGGGAAGAACCTTGTCCATTAGCTGCCGTCAGTGGTCCTAACTCTTGATACCCGCCATCGAACCCTGAAAAGGAAAAAGAAAGAGAAGGAGCCTAGAGTTGGAATTAATTTTTTTATGGAGTTAATAATTACGTTTCCTGTTTTTTTTCATTGATTGATAGTATAAATCAATATGTAATGTACAATAGGTGTAATAAAATTGTATACTTCCAAATGAAGATGATGTCGTTGGCTTAAGGCCATTAAGAAGGTGGTAGGGATGGTTTAAACGGAGGTAAGTGAAGGGTCAAATTTGGGACGTCAGGGAGTGGTGACGTCATGGCGAGAGGTGTTCTCGGTGGGAGGGCTATCTCTTGGTCGGACAGCCGCCAAGAGAGCTGTTTCCGGAGGAAAGAATTGGGTTAAAGTGAGTTTAAGATTGAGTTTTTGGTAGACAAGTGTAGTTTTTTTGTATTTTTAGGCATGTTTCAGGCTTCTAATAATATTCCCCTTTTAGATATTCGTGCAAGCCCGGTATGATATTTTTTTTTGTGTTCAACCGAAAAGGTCTTCAAGTGGCAAGAACCACCCCTCACCCGACGAGCCATAGCCGCGCTAAACGCCAGCATACCGGCAACGCCACTTAAAGCCAAATATTGCGATTTTTCGTCATCCTCGGAAAACGGTTGTTACATAACTCAAAGTATATTATTATATCTGGTTTGTACAGTATTAGAATATGGCTTTATATTGCGAAGGCCACTTTATAAATTTTACTCTGATAAAATTGAATCAGTACAAATTAAGTTTTTATAATTTTCGCTCCACGTGGTTTGTAGGAGAGCTCCATGCAGGGAACTGTACATATAGTTCAAAGTTTTGATATAAGACCCATATAACAGTACCGCCGCAAATTGGGTATTTTTTGATGTTTTTTTTTTACAATTTTCACCAGAATGTTTCAAGTTTTGTATTTGAACACCGTAATGGGCACCACCTTCTACTTCTAAAAATGTCTACATGTCCACCTCTTCGTATAGCCCCCATATAGTATGGTATATCCCTATATTCGGGTTTGTGAAGATTTTAGCCATATTGATCAACAGAATTATATGGAGTTCGTGGTAGGTCCGCGTTTTCGTATAGCCGTCATATAACGGTACCTCTAGGTATTCGGTGTTCTGAAAATTCTATTTACACTTTTCATCGGAATTATTTTAAATTTTAAATATGGTGTTCGCAATAGATACTACTTTCTGTGACTGATAATTATCTGTGCAGATCCATGGAGTTTTTAAAATTTTAGTAGCATTTTGCAACAGAATTTTTATAACAATTTGCAAGTTAGTTGCAAATGGTGGAGGTTATTTAAACTTCGGCCCGACCGAAATTAGATTCTATTTTACTTGTTTCTTTTTTAACAACTCTCCTGAGCTATATGCGAACATAACGACGCAAATAATCCGTATACGCACCCGGATATAATGATCCACAAACTGCCCTAATTATTTGCAATATAGCATTTGTTAAACCAATTATTCATTAGCGTATCAACAATTAATATATTCTTACATATTTCTAAACAAAAACATAAAAACTTTAATGAATCATTTTTTCATGCCTTTTTATTCCCTATATATCACGGTAGTATATAAAGATGCATATGTATGCATGCTTATTTCACTTCGATGGCAAATTTGGTTACATTTTTCTATGTGCACTATATAATAAAATTATCTTTTCCCCGTTGACTTTGATTTTTTTTTCAATGGGGATGTGCAGCAGATTGAAGTTATAACAGAAAATAACTACTTTATTACTCAGAAATTAGAGCAGAAGAAGTAACTAACAGCGTAACACCCTTAAATTTGAATCAAACCCCTTGGACTGTCGGTTCTATGTTCCAGATTGACTCGAAGGAACCAAACTTCGACCAGTAACCGACAACCCTGCAAATACATGTTCGTGTTTTTTTGATGTGGGAGCAACATTACCCGAAATGTTTTATCAATGGCCGAGCGGGTGTTAAGGCCAATCCCGGACCATGGTTCTGCTCCGTTTGTCATAATCGCTTCTACACAGATCAGTCTCGGTGAGATGTAACGGATACATTGAGTGGTTGCATTGATGTGGCTTAAATCGGAGACAGGAGTATAACGATAGGGAAATTGCTTCCTGCTGGGCCAATGAAGACCTCAGTAAGTCATCTTCATTGTCCACGTGTTCATTTCATCCACAAGATCCACAATCACGGTGTCCAAACTTATCCATTACCATGGGTATTGATCAATGTAGCTTTAGTTTTATTCCAGTTGATCACAAATCCATTAAAAGAAATCCACGGTGAAGGAGAAAAGGCAATAGAGTTCACCAATTATCTAACCTATGAATTATCAACCGCTCTGAAGACAACATGGATGTCATACAAAAACAGACAGCATCAGCTGTCAACAACTGATTGCATGATGTCATTAATACACATGATAAGGGTTAGGTTAAAGGATACGTAGTTGTTTAAAACACAGCCACTCCACTCGGTGATCTGCTGGCCCATTGTGTTCATCCTATTTGGAGAAAAGGTTTAAGTTTAAGTTTAAGAAGAGTGTGAAAGTGTATCCACGTTGTGATCAGCGTATTGTCTTTAGCCATTTTAATCTTCTGGCTAATTGATAAAAATACTTGTAAGAAGTGACACAATCGTTCACTGAGCTATCGATCTCTGGATCTACTCAGATCCGCCTCTGGTCAATTCATCTGCTGATTCATTGCCGGATATGTTACAATGACCACGGACCCAACAAAGTTTGACAGATGTCTTAAACTTTTCCATAGCATTTCTCCGGATCTCCGTATATTCAAGCTTTTATAGAAGACTCCAGCTCCCGTGCACTTTCCATCTTTGAACCATCGGCATAGCGGGCTTTACCGTTAAAAGGTGGTGTGTTCCGGGTCCAGATGTCCCTGTTTGGTATATGGATGTCCAGTGTTTGGAAACGTTGCCTGGGTAATATAAAATCACTGGTTATAGCCCGACCTCCCATACCCTCAACATACTTAAGAATATTGTCCAAGAGAACTGACTCCGCCTTTGATCAAGTTCATTGAGTCGTAGGGCACACCTAGCAGCTTGTTCCTCTACAAAAAGACTTAAGGGTTTAAGGTTATGTAGGGTGTCAAGTGCAGATTGGGGTGTGCTTTTAAAGGCACCTGTAATTAGTAACGATGCTACTCTTTGGACTTTATCAATGTTTTTGCTGAATGTAGCTTTGCCAAAAGCTTGCCACCACAATAGCCCACTAAGTAAGAATCAATCCCACGGCAGCGGGTTCTACGACACCGGATTGACCCGAAACAACAACATTCCAGTTTCGGCCAGCGGCTGCCAACCCAGTATATACATGTTCGTGTTTGTTTATTTTTCTGTTTTGGGAGCAGCACATCCCGGAATGCTTGCTCCGGATTCTTTTGGTCCGTGCCGGGCTTGAGGAAAACCCCGGACCATGGTTCTGTACGGTTTGCCAAAACACCATCCACCATAGATCAGTCTCGGTGCGATGTAATGGATGCAGAGGATGGGTGCATTTTAGAAATTGTTCCGGTTTAACCCGGTTGCGAGACTATAGCGATAGGGACTATGTTGCTTCGTGCTGCACCAACGTAGTCCCCAGTGAGTCCACGACCTCGTCGTCACCTTCCGAGTCGTCGTCAGAGTATGGGACTCCCCCGCAGTCTCCAGAACAGCAACATTTACCGCAGCCCTTAACGCCACATTTTGCTGTTCCAATTCCGGACAATGCATCATTCTTGCAGTTCAATTGCAACGGACTCCGAGGTAAAATTGATGAGATAGTGGATTTTATGAATCGGAGGAATATTAAGATCGCAGCGGTGCAGGAAACCAAGCTCAATGAAAATTGTAGCTTACAACGTTGCAATGGTTACAACGTATTAAGGAAAGATCGCACCAGAAGTGGAGGTGGGGGATTAGCGTTCCTGATACACCATTCTGTTCACTACAGACCTATCTCGCTTGAGCTAGTCTCTAGTGACCCGTACATGGAGTGTATGGGGGTAGCAGTCAAGTGTGGTACTGCCGAGGTAGAGGTGCTTAATGTGTATATCCCGCCGGTTAATAGCTGTGAACCGCGATACTTGCCTAATATAAGCCCACTTTTGGAAGGCAATAACCGCCTGGTACTAGGGGACTTCAATGCCCACCATGAGTTGTGGCATTCCGTCCTAGGTAATGACCAGAGGGGATCAGCGTTGGCAGAGCAGATTGACTGCTCCACATTTTGCACGGTAAACGAGGATGCCCCCACCCGAATTAGAGGAGAGTGTCACAGTTCGCCAGATTTAACCATCGTGTCACCCGGTCTGATAAATGACGTGACTTGGCAACCCGTCATTTCTCTTGGCTCAGACCATCTCCCGATAATCGTCTCCATCAGCAGATCGCCCGATTTCATAACCTCTGAACGCCGCACTTTCCTTAACCATGGGAAAGCCCACTGGCCCGAGTTCAGAGAGTTCACCAACCTTCGCTTCAGAGAACTGCCCAATCCTTCTAATGTTCGGGTAGCTGAAAGGATTTTCCGGGACATCATCAAAGCTGCAGCCGCTCGCTATATACCTGCTGGTCGAATACCCGAAGTAAGACCAAATTTCCCAGCAGAGGCAGCGGTATTAACGAATGAGCGTGATGAGCTCCGACGTACCAACCCTACTGATCCCAGAGTCAAGGAACTGACAGTGGAAGTCAACCGGTTGGTACAGGAGCATAAGCGGAAAAAGTGGCTAGACCATCTGAAGTGTTGCAACATTGGAACCGATTTGAGTAAACTGTGGGTAACGGTAAAGTCACTCTCGAACCCTGGAAAAAAGGATGATAGGACAGCAGTCACATTTAACGACGTAACTGTGACTGATCCGAAGAGGTGCGCTGGCTGTTTTAACCGCCAATTTGTCGAGCACCCCGAGAGTGATAGGGCGAGGCGAAGAGTACTACGTCGTATAAGAGCTCTTCCCGCCGAGGATGTACCTCCACAGTTTACGATGGGTGATGTTGTGAATGTCATCCGAAACGCTAAGTCATCTAAAGCGTTGGGCCCGGACGGAATATCAATGGTAATGTTGAAGCAACTGGATACGCCGGGAGTTGAGTATTTAACCAAAGTCCTTAACTTGTCGTTAGCCACCCACATAGTTCCCGAAGCCTGGAAAATGGGCAGGGTGGTCCCGCTACTGAAGTCTGGCAAGGATGCCAGCAATGGCGAATCGTACAGGCCAATTTCGCTTTTGTCGCCAGTAGCAAAGACTCTCGAGGCCTTACTCCTCCCCAGTATCAGAGGAAGCTATTCAGTTGCTAACCATCAACACGGTTTCCGTCCACTACATAGCACTACAACAGCATTGCACGCCATATCCACACATATCAGTCGAGGACTCAACCAGAACAGGCCGTGCCACAGAACAGTAGTGGTGGCTCTCGACCTTTCAAAGGCCTTTGATACGGTCAACCATGCCACGCTGTTCGAGGACGTTGAGAACACTACCCTCCGGCCAAGTTTGAAACGTTGGATAGTCAACTATATGTGTGGACGCCAGTCGTACGTGGAATTCCGGAATAAGAAGTACAAGCCTCGTAGAGTGAAACAGGGAGTTCCCCAAGGTGGGGTGATATCTCCGGAACTGT